ACATGAGTTGATGATTTCACAGGTGGCATCTGGCTGAGTCCGTGACATTTGCCCTCTTTGTTCTTTCTCTGCATTTCTGTGTTTTCTTCTCATTTCCTGTGGTGTTCTCTGTTACATAAAGGCACCTGAGTTTCAGCTGCTCACGTTGTCTTATGCAGGTTACATGCTGATGTTTGTTGTGAGGTTGATGGAGAAACATGCCGACTGCAGGCTTTATGTCATAAGCTGCAGTATGTAGCACAGTTTTTTAATTTTTTTAAAAACATTTTTTGAAGTTGTGCTAAGTAAAAGATTCATGGATCCATAAAAAATAGCAAACTTTATCACAAAGATAAAGCACATCTAGGAGATGGAGTCAGTGAAGTTGTTGCAGTCCTGAATGTTTTTGATTTGAGCTTTTGCTGAAAAGATTCCTCACTTCCTAAGAACAAACTTAAAGATGCTTCTGCTGAAAACTGTCCAAATATATGACACTGACCTGGTGTGTGCTGGTCAGGCAGACCAGAAGTAAATGTCAACACCAATTTACTATCATTCAAAAGAGAATCTTTTATTCCCCTTTGTGCTGCATGTGCTGTACGTGGATTGGACCCAGAAGCAGAATCAACACCGGAAACTCGCACAGACCATGACAGCACGAGCCAGCTTATGTATATAGCTGTTTGATAAACAATCCAAAAGACACAATTTAATGTTTTAATTATTTCAGCTTCACAAATTGTTTACTTTACAGTGTGAATTGTAAGAACTTGTTGGGTGTTACTTGTGGGATTCTCCAGTATGATGATGATGATGTTTCATGTCCTGTCTCCACTGTTCTTTCTACTGTCGTCAGTTTCTGAACCTATACTTTGACATTGATTTTGAAGTGCTATTAAATTTAACTCTAAAGTATCCTTAAAATGATTTGGAGCTTTGTCACAACATGGAAAAATGGTAACATATTAAGATTTTGTGCTTAGTCTGGTGCAAAGAAGGTTTCAAAACACAAGCAAAATTCAGATTCTGCAGTGATTTTTGCATTTTGGTCCTTAATTATTATTTTGACAGGATTCACATTCTCGGTCTCTCTTCTGATTAATAGATAGTGTTATATGCACATGCAGTGCATGTTTAGCAATGCACAATGATATATATTTTATCACTACAGAACGTTTTTCTATTTGTAGTCACTAGAGCTAAATATCTTATTCTATCTACAGCTAATATCTTGCAGTTCAAGATATTATAAAAAATAAAATAAAAAATAAACTGAATTGAACAACAGGTGAATCCTATACATTCAAACTGCCTGGATTGTTATGATAATTTGGAGGACAAAGTTTTGGATAAAAGTTTTATTATAGTCTCTGTGGAGGTATGGTAATATTTCTGTTTCAACATTACAAGAATGACCCAGTCTTAAAATAATACAACACAGCACACAGAACCAGAAAAAAAGAAGTTCTTGGGTCTCTCTTCATGTTTACATTTGCAACTGATCTGCGGAGTGACATTACTTGGTAAAAATGTAGGATTAGATATCACTCTTTGTCTGAAACAAGGCCCTGTTGTAAATGAGACACGAGTCTCAATAGGATACCTGTATGAAAAAAGGTTCAATTATAATTAAAAATTGAAAATGCACTTACATTAAGACAATTTCAAAGAAAATTAAATAACGTGCTTTCCTTTGCTGCACTGTCGCACAAATAAACACTAGATTTGTTTTTCTTGGAGTGGGGGGCTGTGGGGGTTAGTTTTTAACAAAGATGGAAAAATTCGAGAAGAAATAAGAAAACAAAGGGTGACAAATAAAAGGCCCAAACTTAATTTAAGGTTTATTTTAATATAATGTCATATTCATCAGCATTTAACTCAACATTTATGAGAAAACAGCGTCCTCGGTTTGCTCTCTTGTCCTTCTTCCTCGTGTTTTTCTTTCAGAGAAACTGAGCGCAGCGTAGTTTATATCATCATCAGCTTCAGTCTGTGTAGTAACAGAAAGAGTACACAGTACACAAACATGTAGATGTGGAACTGTGCATACATATTTAACCTACACAAAATCTGTTTGATTACTTACTGGTTGGTACGAGTTGTCAGTTTGTACTTCTGTTGTATCACTTTTTATTTCTAAGATAAACAAAATAATAACAATAAATATATGATAGTGAAATACACTTAATGTGACATTTCTTCTCTGATGTTTTTTGTTTTTTACAAAAATCTTACATAAATGTATCATTCAAGTGAAGTGATGAGTTAAGTTAATGAGAAGTTAGATTGTTTAATGAGGTACACAAAGAAATAACAACCATTATGTCGCTTAAACATTAACAGGTAGTACGATGGTTGCCTCCTTACAGTTTTACAGCAACCTTGTTTTTATGATTTTACTGGCAACACTTACGTTTACATTTTTTGCATACTCTTCGGTTGCAGATGAAGAAAAGATTTCCAATGACAGAAACGGCCAAACAGGTTATTAATATTACCATTCCAATAAATACCAGTCGTGTTGTTTTCTCTACAAAACAAACAAAAAAGGTTTTATCACTGATCTTGATGTGAGCATGTTTTAAGCACAAACTGAAAAGTACTTGAGACAAAATCAGGCACAGATACCTTGAACATCCAGTTTAGTTCCAGTTCCCAATAATATCTCCCCACATGTGGCCACAGCACAGTAGTAAGTCCCAGCATCAGAGGAGCTGACG